TCTGTGTCCTCCTCTGTGTCCATGGATGTTCGTGTGCATCCTACGGAGGGTGCCCTTGGCTGTTGTGTGTGTTTTGGCCGGCGGAGGGCCTCGTGTTCTTGAGAAGTGTTATGTATCATGTCCTAGGTCCGATTGTAGGCCCACCAGGGAATGTTTTAAGCGCCGCTCGTGGTTTGCACGAGTACTACGTCGGCTTTAAGTCCTAAGAATCAGGAAGCCAACTATGGGGCTGGGAGGATGAGGTTGGGAGAACTGCGGACATCCTTACCCGTAGGCGGCCGAAGGCATCGTTCATCGCATCCGGATGCTGTTGCTCATGCCCTACATCCTCTCAGCCTTTTCCTCTAAACGCGACAGTTGGTCTCCTCAACGAACCCCGTCCTTGTCCTTAGAACACTGTTTGGGCTTCGTGCACCTTCGTGGTAGGCACACGGCTGTGCCTGGACGGTCGGTCCTTCAACTCCAGCGGCCCGCGCAGGCCATCGCGTAATTAAGGATCCTGCGCCCTCGTGCGTGAGTCGGGCCGGACGAAGGGGGGGGGATTGGGAAAGGGGGGGGGACTGGGAAAGGGGGGGGGGTACGAAATCTGCTGCATGCAGCTGGTTTGGGCCCCACCGAGGGGCCCATTCCTCGATGCATGGGCGCCTCCCGGCGCCGGGAGGCGCCGGGAAAGTCAGCGCTGATTCTCCCGCTCCCTTACAGGGGGGGGGGGGGGGAGAATCAGCGCTGTGCGGCCCGGCCCGAGCCCTCGTGCGTAAGACCCTCTTCAGGAACGACACGAAGACGCCCGCGCACGGTGGGCTCGCGTCGTGCCGACCGGCGGCGACCCCGCTGCCGGCGTTCAACATTGAACGCCGCCGGCGACCCAGAGTCGGTCGATGTTGACCGAGCTGACGTTTCGGACACGCCCAATCGTTCAAGGTGGAACGGTCCCCGCGGTGTCAGGAGCCAACGCCGGGGTCGACACGACACGAACCTGCCGTAGACGGATTATCGTGGGCTCCAGCCGAGAATACGTATGCAATGGCAGCGCGCGAGCGTTCGTAACGCGAGGCTGGCCTCGGGGGCTGGGGGACCGGTTTGAAACATATCCCTATCCCTGTGTTTGGCATCACCTCACCTCGATGCCGATCTTGGGGATTCCCTCGGTTTCTGAGGGCACATCCCTAAGATTGTCCTCGCTTTTTGCTCGCCCATCTCAGGGATAGGGATAAGTGCGAGGCTGGTTAGTATTCGCGTACATGGCTGGGAGAGTACGCCCTTCTGTGGCTCCCTAGAGGGTCCGTGTTGCACCCCCCTGGCGAAAAAGCGGCAGTAGTTCCCGGAGGGGCCGGGAGGGGTGGGGCGCCGTCTGGGAAAAAAGCTGCCCCTGCAGTTCCCAAACGGCGCCGGAGCGACCCGTGACATGATCCGGTGCCAGGGAGGGAGGGGGGAAGCATCCTCGGGAGCCTCGAGACGGGTGTCAATGCAAACGGAGGTCAACCAGGCCGCCAGATCTTGCAGGATCCTGCAGGGCCAGGGTCGCATTGACCCGGGTTTGGGTGCAGGATCCCGCAGGGTCTTGCAGGATCATTCGCACTGACCCGGGTTTGGGTGCTGAATTTTGCTGGATCTTGCAAGGCCTGACTGACCCGGGTCTGGATTGACCCGGGTCAGAGGATCCCCGACATCCCCCGTAACGGCCGCTAGTTATCGCGAATCGTAGAAAATCCTCTCCTACGGTGGGGACGTGCGCCAAGGAATGTGCCCGGGAGGCTTCAGACCCTGAAGGATCCTTTATCCTGATGAGGGCGGCGGTGGTGTCCATGGCCAAGCCTCAGTTGTTGCTCCACTGGCTTCCAGACCTCGTGTTCCTTGTCAAGTGGTTCCGTATCTAATGCCCTCACCCTGCCCTGCCCTTCCGCCGCTCTTCTGGCGAGAAGCGGGGCATGGTGTCTGCACCCCCGCCACGGCCCCCCCTTCTCGCGACTCGGCCTGCGCCTGCGCTGTCACCACGTCGCTGCTCGCTCCAGCGAGGGTCAGAGATTTGGAGTGGCAGCGCGCGGCCAGGGGCCGGGTGACGGAGGATGACGACATGAAGGAGGAGGAGGAGGAGGATGCGACAGAGCATGGGGATATAGTGCATATCCTGGGCCAGAACGGCATAGGCACACGCACGCCGAGTACGGAAAGGTGTGCCACAACATTCGAGCAAGTTTGGACGACGCTCGTACGAAGCGTCGAGAATCTGAGATAGGATCTGAGTTGAGCTGCGCCGAACAAATTGAGGATGGGGGCGGTAACCACATGATAAGGAGACCCAGGTGGCACAAGCACCCGCGCTAGCTCGGCGGCGGCTGGGGAGCAGGAGGGGTGAGTATGGGGGAGGAGGCGAGGGAGGAGAGGGAGGAGAGGGAGACGGAGGAGGGGGAGGAGGAGGAGGAGGAGGCGGAGGAGGAGGAGGCGGAGAAGGAGGAGGAGGGGGAGAAGGAGGAGGAGGAGGAGGAGGAGAAGGAGGAGGAGGAGCATCCCTCCTCCTTGCAGCAAGCCCCCCCCCCCCCCCCCCCCCTCTGTCCTTCGGGAGAGAGCGGGGGCGGCTCCGCGTGCCTGCCGCTCTCTCAAGCGAGTATACCCCGTGTTTTGCGCGAGCCTTCAGGTGCCCTGCTATCTGGCTACAAGAAGCGCCGCGGAGCGGGATCGGAACGTCCGAAGAGATGCCCAGCGAGAGCCCCCAGTTTGAAAAGAGAGCCGCCCATATTCACGCAACGGCTCGCGAGTGTGAGCAACATGTGGTCATACACATTGAAGGAGCCTCCAGCGACAGACGCATCTTGAACAGGAGGTGCCTTCCATCAGTGGAGCGGCCTGCGCATTGTCGCACTTCTGGTTTCCTGGCCATACGGTTTGAAGAAGCCTGAAACAACCGCCTCTATGTCCTTTTGCACCTGGCGGCAGCTTTCGAGACGAGTGTGCGCGGCGCGACGGCGAGAGCCACATCTTGAGAACGGCCAGCCTGCCATCCTCGTAACTGCTGGACGTTTTGGGGACGACTTTGCGCGGCGCCAAGGCGGGCTGCCGTCCAGCAGCGTAATTGTTTGAAGCGTCCAAGACGGGCGAATGCGCGCAGCGTTAGGGCGAACGCAGCTAAATCAAAAAACGTCCAGCCATCCGTCTGTGCAAGCGTTCGATAATTCAAGGTGGCTGGCCATGGGTGGTAAGAAAGCTTCAGGCGAAGCGCCTGGCCCGCCCTACCGACACGTCTGGTGGCGCAATAAAGGGAAGTCGTGTATGAGGAAGCGGGGCGCAGGATCGAGTTTCAAGGTTTTTCGGCAGGGGGGCAGCTCCTCTTCGTGGGCTGTTTTCTGACAGCCTCGGGGTCCCCCCGAATGGCCCCGCCCTATGCGCCCACGTTCCCTAGAAAACTAGTCGATCCATGAGTTCGATTCGTTGCGTGACTTTTTGCTCTAAGGCGGCACCCAAGAGGGCCCCAAGACGACCGGCCCAAGAGACCTCCGACATCGCCCTAACGCGCTTTGCTGTCGGCACCCATTCATGCCCTATGCATCAGCCTGACTGTGCGCTACCTGTTCTCATCTAGGCGTGCTCACTTCCTCTGCTTTTTTGGTTCTCTCTCTCTCTCTCTTTCGTTTTTTGTCTCTCTCTCTCTATAGATATAAATATCTATATGTATAGGTTCCAGTCTCTGTTCCTCTCTCTCTCTCTCTCTCTTTATCTAGGCTGCTTAGGGTGCCTCCAGATTAATTGCGCACTACACTGTCTAATAGTTACTCTACTCTCTCTGCTCCACTCTTCTTTGCGCTCTCGAGTATGTTTTGTTTGCTGTCTACGATCCACTCTCTCATTTCCTCCGCGGCTGCAAAGACTCGGGGACCATGTATTTTCTGATCTATACTCTTTGCTCGCTTTGGTCAACTCTGCTCCCAACTCTCTGGCCCCTTTCCTTTTTACGACCCAAGTCTCGAGGCATTCGGCTGCAACCAAGACTTCCCAAACCTCGGACTTTGACTCTGTGAAGAGCCCCGTAAGCGGGAGCCCCAGAGCCCATAGGAACATGGCCGCCTTCCCAAACTTGACACTGCCAGGAACACAGGCGCCGAAAAATGGGAACCCGGGAACCCCCGGGAACCCCCAGGGACCCGGCCGCCCATCGAAATCGGCGCCGCACTTTCGCTTGCTCTTTCAACACCCGCCAGAGCGAGCATTGATTGGGGAGAAACGTATTACGAATGTCTACTATGGACTTGGTTGAGCGCGTGCCCGATTTGTTCTGGAACCGCGCCCGAAGTTTGTAGGGACCGTGCCAGAGCGGTCCTCCCGTTGTCCAAAATCTAGGGCTTGCACTTGAAGGCGCCAGGTTCCCCCTTGGACTACATGGTTAGGGCACTCGGATCCGTAGGGTGGAAATTGTTTATATTTATATATGCATTAAAAAAAACCTGGGGCTCCCCTTCCTTTTAGACCCCCTTCTTCATATCCACCAGGAAACATCGCTCCCCGCACCTCTCTTGGCGTGCGTTCTGATCGGAGGCCCGATGGCCGTGGTCAGACTCCCGTCGAGCCGCCCGGCAGGGAAAGCGAATCCGGCCGCGGCGACGAGAGGCTCCCCAGAGGCCCAGCCAAGACGGAGAGCGACGCCAGAAGCCTCCTCCTCCTCCTCCTCCTCTTCGGGCCCCTCGAGCCGATCGAGCCTCCCTCCTCCCAGGTGAGCCTCTCGTACTCGGCGCCTCTGCCCGTGGCCTCGGGCTTCTACAGCCTCCGGCTGGTGCTGTCCGACGCGCCCAACGCGGGCTACCTGGGGAACGACGCGCTGGGGGTGCCGCGGGGGGGGGGGGGGCGCCTGCGCTCGGGAGAGGGGCAAGGAGGGGAGGAGGGGAGGAGGGGGGGAAAGGGGGAGGGATGGGGGGGCGGAACCGGAGGAAGGCGGAGGGAGGGAGGGGAGGAGTCTTCGAGACAGGCTGCCGGCCCAGCGACGAAACCGCCAGCTTCCTCCGCAGCTGCGGGCGAGCGCTACGGAGCCGACCTAGACGACGGCGAGTGCTCCGAGCTGCTGGGCAGCCTCTTGCGGCAGATCAGCAAAACCCTCCACAGGGGTAATGCTGAGATGCTGCTGAGCGCACTCGGGCGCTAGGCGAGCAGCCCCCCGCTTCCTCTTGGTCCAACGCGACCGCCGCCAGCGAAGTGACCACCACAAGCGGCCGCGACCACAGCCACAAACCCAGACCACCACGACCGCCAACAGCACGACAACCACTGCCGCCACCACCACCACGACGACCCTGGAATACGAAGACCCCAACCACCGCCGACGCCGCGACCACGGCCAGCGCCGGCACATTCACCACCGTGACCACCGCCGACCAGCGCTACGGCCACGACCACGGCCAGTGCGACGGCGCCATGACCACCACCACTGCCACTATCACCACCGCCGCCCCTCTCCTTTCCTCTCCCTGCCCCTGCTGGGCCGCCCTTGCTGCCGCGCGCACCTTGCGCTTCGCCTCCGCCTTCTTCCTCGCTCCTCCCTTTCCCTTGCTCTTTTCCTTGCATGATTCAGTGAATTCGTAGAACTTAGACTTCGCGGCGGAGAGCCCAGGGACCAGTTCTTCAAGAGCTGTGTCCGGTAGGTGGCGTTTTGTGTGGCTGGGGACCCGGGGCCATAATTAACCCCAACGCCCGGGGCCCCCCCTAGGTGACGGGGGTGGGGACCCACTCGGGTGCCCCCGCGTTTTTTTGGTGGAGGAGGGGGCAGAGGAGAGATCTGGAACCCCTGTGGAGGACGAACACGAGGAGGGATGTGGGGATGAAGTGGGGAGGAGGAGGCGGAAGATTAGTCGGTCTTTGGTCCGCCTGGGCTGTGCGCGGGCGTGGGGCGCTGGTGCGATGGACCAGAGCGTTCCCCAGGGCGGAAAGGAAATCAAACGGGGAGGAGGAGTAGAAGGATGAGGAGGAGTCGAACGGGGCCAGGACGAGGATAAACCCGTTCCAGAGCTTGCTGGGGCGCTTTCAGAGCGTTCCAGAACGCTCTGAGAAGGCCGCGGCGCCCGAGACATCCTCCAAAGCCGCCAGATATCAGAGACGATCATCCTTTGCTTACCCGATTGTATCCTCGTCCTGGCTCCGTCTTAAGAAGGAGAAGGAGGAGAAGGAGGAGAAGGAGGAGGACCAGTGTAAACCCAAGAGTCATCAACGATGTTGGAATTAACCCCTCCCTCCAAGCTCCCTCGTTCATGGGCCCCGACAGCGGTTCATTTCCATTGAGGGAACTGCCCCGTTTGAAGACAGCCGTTTGAAGATCCTGAAGCATGCCAAAACATTGATCTCGGCATTTCAACGCCACGTATCAACCTTGCTGCGCTTTGGCGATCCGGAATCGTGGCATAACGATCTTTTCTTCTGGTTTCATCACCGCGAACCAACATAACTGTTGCACCCGCAAAGTCCTGAATCCTTCCAAAACACCATGTTTGGTACGTTGAGCATGGGAACCCGTGAAACTCTTGCAATGTTTGAAACGCATGCGCGCGGCGCTAAGGCGAGAACCGCGTTTTGAAAAGGAACCGCCTTCACTCCGTGAAACTCTTGCAAATTTTGGCAAAGTATGTGCGCGGCGCTGAAGCGAGAGCCACATTTTGAAAAGGAGCTGTCCTCAATCCGTGAATCCCTTGCAGTTTTTACAAAACGAATGTGCGCGGCGCTAAGGCGAGAGCCACATGTTGAAAACCACCCGCCCCCATCTGTGAAACTGTTGCCACTTTTACAACATCAGAGTCATACGTGGTGAGGAAGTCTTAGGCGAAACGCCCGGCCCGCCCTAAAAACTGGCCTCGGGGTGCGACAGGGATGAGTTATCTTGAAGGAGGAGGAATGGAGGAGGAGGAGGAGGAGGAGGAGGAGGAGGAGGAGGAGGAGGAGGAGGAGGAGGAGGGGTGAATGAGTTGTTTGTTGGTGCCCCTTGTCTGGGCTTACGGATGCCTTTTAGCTCGGCGGCGGAGGTCTGGGGGTTCTTGGAAGGCTTGGGGAGGTATTCTGCAGGTGTTCCGGAGGTTTTTTTTAGCAAATGTGTCCGAAATCCTTGGATGTATCTCGAGGGGGAGGAAGGGAAGGTGGGAGGGGGGGAGGAAGTCTCGAGGGGGAGGGGAAGGGGGAGGGAGGGAAAGGGGAAAGAGGGAGGGAGGGAGGGATTGAGGATGGAGGGAGGGAACGGAGGGAGGGAGGGAGGGAGGGAGAGAGGGATGGAGGGAGGGAGGGAGGGAGGGAGGGAGGAGTAGGAAGAGCAAGAGGATGAGGCGGAGGAGGAGGAAAAGGAGCGTGGAGGAGGAGGACGAGGAGGACAAGGAGGACGAGGAGGACGAGGAGGACGAGGGCGAGGAGGAGGAGGATGATGAATAATAATAATAATAATAATAATAATATGAAGAAGAAGAAGAAGAAGAGAAGGGAGAGAGGGAGGGAGAGAGGCAGGGAGGATGGAGGTAGGGAACGGAGGGAGGGAGGGAGGGAGGGAGGGAGGGAACGGAGGGAGGGAGGGAGGGAGGGAGGAGGAGTAGGAGGAGGAGGAGGAGGAGGAGGAGGAGAAGGAGGAGGAAGAGGAGGAAGAGGATGAGGAGGAGGAGGATGAGGAGGAGGAGCGTGGAGGAGGAGGAGGAGAACGAGGAGGAGGAGGAATAGTAATCAGAAGAGGAGGAGGAAGGGGAGGAGGAGGAGGAGGAGGAGGAAATGGAGGAGAGCTAGCCAAAGGTTCCATGCCCCTGTTTGTGCTGCTGATTTGCCCTCCCCCTGTCTTGCATTTATGTCTCCCAGACTTTCTCAGGCGCCCCTTGAAAGACGAGAGCCTCATGGGCTTGCCATTCAGGCGGGTTCCCCGTCTTCAAAAAGGAGTCACTTTCCACCCTGCGAGTTAGCTGTAAGATGTACCCCACGGTCGCATCACAAAATTCTTGGCGCTTCGCTTCTTCTTCAGTACATTGCATCGTTGTGCCCCCGAACAGCGTGATTCGGATACGATGTAAGCGCACAGGCTACCGGCTGGAGGTTGCTCAGCCTCGTGAACGCACACCAGTGGTCTGTCTCTTACTGGATGGTGCTCTGACGTGCCGCTGCGTGTGTTGTCCGCTGGAATCCGCGGCAATCTCGCGCCAACTATCTACGTACCGCGCCCCGGACGTTGTGCTCGCTCCTTGTCTCTCGCCTTGGAGCCGCGAACCAAAACAAAAATCCCCACCAGCCTTTCTGGGCCTACCTCGGGCTCGAATGATGGCCTTCTGGGTACTGTGATCGCGCCAGAATGGTTTAGCCTCCTGCAGTCGCAACAGCACCCTGGACTCATCCCCCTCTTCTGGCAGGTTTGCGACGTTCCTCGGTAGCTCAGCCCCCCTAGCCAGCACGCGTCGTTGGGACGGCTTGGGCCTGGCGCCCCACTGGCGACTCGCCCATCGGTCTTCGCGCCTGCTCCCACCCAGTATGAAGGACACGTCGGCACCTGTGCACGTCATGTCGCCTGTGTGGGCTATGCCTCACGGCATGCACCGAATTCTTCGACATTTTGTCAGACTGCACGTGCCCAAGCTTCCCAGGATGCCCCCAGCCGTGAGCTTCCCGCACAGCCCTGCGGTTGCTTGGTGAGTGGGCCGGCCGGCTAGCGGCGCGTCTTGTAGCTAATTCGCCTTGTTCGCAGCCTTGGACATTTGCTTTCGCCGCGTGTGCTCTTCGCTCGCGGCCGCGACCAAAAAAGTATCCCCACCAGCCCATCCAGAAACAGATCGCCAGGCGAGTTGCCTTGATCAGGGATTTGTAGAAGCATGCAGTGCAACACCCGCTCTGCAAGTGTGTTCTCGGAGGCCCCTTGGAGCCATCCTGGGCCTTTCTTGGAGTCCTCGCGGAGCCTCTTGGGGCCCTCTTGGGGCCCTTTTGTGGGGCTTTACTAGGGCCTTCTTGGGGCCCTCTTGGGGCTCTTTGGGAGGTCTGGGAGGCCTCTTGGGATCATCTTGGCTTCCGAGCCTCAAAGAGAGGGGTGACGGATTCTGGTCCCCCCCCCGGAGGCTCAAGCATGACTTCGTGGGGCTGTCTGGGGCCGTCCTTGCAGCGCTCTTCGGCGTATATTTGGGGCCCTCTTGGGGCTCTGTTGGGCCCCGCTTGGGGCTCTCTCTTGGGCTGCCTTGGAGCCATCTGGAGACCCCCAGGGCTCATCGGAAGCGAACAGGCGAGAAGACAAGAACACAACGATGCTCCTCTGAGGTGTGGGAGCCATTTTGGCCTTTGGGGGAGGTCCTTGCAGAACTCGAAGGGCAGGTGGAGCCGTCTTTGGGCCGTCTTGAAGCGTCTTCGAGGCATGTCGGAGGCTATATTGAGCCCTGCTCGGCTATATTGGGCCATCTTGGAAACCATTTGGGCTCTCTGACCATCTTGGAGCCATATTGAGCTATCTTGTGCGCTCTGACCGATAGCGCCCCCCCCCCGCCCCTGGAGGCCCAAGCGTGCGAGGCGCGGCAAGTAGTGCGGCACGTGCTCCACGAGAGGGCTGGGATGCCACTGACACGTGCAATCAGATGGACGACGAGCCTGGCATCGACGAGTGCTGTTCTGACGATGGCCCTGCAGCCCCTGGGCCGCGGGACCATGCTGACATGGCGAAATTGGACCCCAGGTGCTTCTATCAACTACAGCATAACAAATGCCCATCCACCACAAAGCAAGCGGAGGGCCGACCGATAATGGGAAATGGACTGGGGAACGGAAGGGCCGCAAGGTTCTTCTCCCCGCGCGTTGTGCAGTATGCCTACCCCAACCTGTCTTTGTCATAAACCCGTGAATGTGGTGGGTGTGGCGCCCGCGCGTGTTCCAGAGTTTGCGGCAATGTGCATTCAGTATTGGTTTTTGAGAGGGGTGGTTGGCTTGCGCGCATCAAGCAATATACCAGCACCCCCGCCATCCGTGTCAAAACCCATGCTGAGAGGCCGCGGGGCGCCCGCGCATGCCTCAGATTTCAAGACAAGGTGCATGTTGCATTGTTCGTTGACAGGGACGGTTGGCTTGCGCCCGGCTTGCGCGCAACATATGTCAAAACCAACGAAGGCGGTGGATGGAGCGCCCGCGCTGCGCATTTTGTGTTGTTTTTAACAGTGATGGCTGACATGCGCGCATCAAACAATATGCCGGCACCCCCGCCATCCTTGTCTAAAGCCAATCCCCCAGAGTGCCCGCGGGACGGCCGCCGAGTGGTCGCGGGGCGCCCGCGCATTCTCCTGATTTGGATGCACAGTACATTCTGTTTTGTTGGTTGATAGGGACGGCCGGCTTGCGCGCAACTTGTGCGCAACAAACAGCTTGCCGGCACCCCCGCCGTCCCTGTCAAAAACCAATGCAGAGTGGTCGCGGTGCGCCCGCGCATGCTCCAGATTTCGAAGCAGAGTGCATTCTGTGCTGTTTTTTGACAGGGATGGAAGCGGGGGCATGTCCCGGTCTGGCCCTGCAGTAGGGTGTGGCAGGGGGTGTTTACGAATAGTGAGCAGTGATGATCCCTTCCTCCGAGCAGGGGGAAGAGGAATTCTGGGCAGAGGGAAGACAAACCACATACGCCCAAAAACTTGGTGGGATGCAGAGAAACCGAAAAAGCGAGTGTGCGAACATCACACAACAGCGTCTTGCTTGTTGGTTATACAGGGCTGTTTGGGTCAGCCCGTATGAGCGTCCAGGACGGCCCAACAAACCCCCCAAGAGATGTCCGGAACAGGCTGCGGTGACCACTGGCCCGTCAAGAAGGTTTCACCAACGCTGTTCAATGTCGAGAGTTCTGCGGGACCAGGGGGTGTTTTCTTCAGTGTTTGTGGCATGGTGGTGTGTTGGCTTCAAGCTGAAGGCGTTCCTCCTTCCCTTCCTCCTTCTCCAGGCCTGCCTCACTTCCCCTTCTCTTCTCCAGCCTCGTCTGCCCTTCCTCCCTTTCCAGACCCCGACGTGTTTCTGTTTGTCTTCGCTACGATTTCCCACTGGGGCGTCCGGATCCTGTCCCCAGGGCCGACATTTGGCCGCGAATGGTTTTTGGACGGCCCCATGGCCTGGCAAGGGCCCCCAGGTGCCGAAGACAGCCCCTAGAGCCTCCGTGTTTTGTTTTTGTTTCTCGCCGCGAGGGTGTGTGGGTTCTTAGGCATGCGAACCCTCCCCCTCAGAAATCGTTGGGGGTAGGGGTAGGGTTCGCATGTGACCCCCTAGTTCTGCCACCTCTCTTGCGCCTCGTCGTTCCGCTGCCTCAGACAGCGCCCTCCCCCACGGCAGGTGTACGTCTTCGACACCTCCACCTTCGAGGCCGCGTGCCGGCGGTCTTCGTCTGCGTCGAAAAACCGTGCTCGTCGTCGACGGGAAAGGCGGCAGGAGGAGGAGGAGGAGGAGGGGGAGGAGGAGGAGGAGGAGTCGGCGGCTGAAAGTTTTGGGCTTTTGGGCAGTATAGGGGGCCCCAGAATGTCAATCGGGGCTGAAGGGGAGGAATGTGATATGCTACAGATGATGATGATGATGATGATGATGATGATGATGATGATGATGATGATGATGATGATGATGATGATGATGATGATGGTGGTGATGGTGATGATGGTGATGGTGATGATGGTGATTATGGTGATAATGATGCTTGTGCTGTTGCTGATGATGATGATGCTGGTGATGATGATGCTGAGGATGATGATGCTGATGACGATGATGGTGGGGTGAGGAGGAGGAGGAGGAGGAGGAGGAGGACGAGACTGGACAGACGAGGAGGAGAAGGAGGCTGGGGAGGAGGGCGACGAGATGGGTGAGCATGATGATGATGATGATGATGATGATGAGGAGGAGGAGGAGGAGGAGGAGGAGGAGGAGGAGGAGGAGGAGGAGGAGCCTACGCAGGAACAGAGAGTAGAAGGAGCGAGGGATCAGGGAGGACGGAAGAGTCAATCTGACTTTGGGACAACCTTCTCTCGAGAGATGTTCCAGAGCCTTTTGTGATCGCTCTACGCGAAACGTCAGTCTACGACGGCCCTCGTATACTTACTACCTTGAAGATCAGTTCGAAATCCTGGACGCCTCGCATATCCCCACCGGCCCATCCAGAACCGATGCCAGTGCATCTTTTTTTTGTGAGCCTCGTGGAGGCCCTCTGGAGGAATCTTGGCAGAAAGTGGGGAGGAGGAGCAGGAGGAGGTAAGGGGGGAGGAGGAACAGAAACAGGATAAGGTTAACGAGGATGATAAGGAACAGGTGGAGGAATGGGAGAAGAGACCACCTTGGAGGCGTCTTTGGCCCATCGCCTTGGGGAATTGTCGAGGTATGTCAGAGGCTATATTGGGTCATCTTCGGCTATGTGGTGTCTTGGAGGTCATCTTAGATCATCCGGGGCCATCTTGGAGCCATCTTGGGCGTTCTAACCCCTCGACCGCCCCCCTTTCCCCCCTCGATTGCCAGTGAGGAGGAGGGGATGGGTAACCCCCTTCCGGAATAGGGAAGAAGGGGGATTGGAAGACAGAAAGCATGATTTGTTATACCGCCTACCACCTACCAGAGGTGGCACAGCTGTCTAATTTGGATGTGTTGCAAGCGCGTTGTCTAAGAAGGATGTTGTGCGTCCCGTATTCGCACATAAGCCAAGTGACCAACCCCACAGTTTTCAGCCGAGCGAGGCGCACCAAACTGAGCAGTGTGTTATTCGAGCGCCAGCGAACTCTGTGTTGGAACATCGAGAGGATGAGCGATAGTCATCCTGTTCTCAACGTTGTATTCAAGCCGTCGACCGTCCTGCTTCAAGACCCGCCCGCGCGTCGCGGACTAGGAAGGTCTCGCGCGGTATGGGCCCGAATCGTTCACAAGCGCGTTCTCCACGCATGCGTAGATTCAGTGGTTTAGAGTTGTCCGATATTGCCGCCATCCCGGCGACCGCGTGGAGTCGAGCAGCGCGGGGCGACAGCCAGTGCCGTTGATGCGTCGCCGTCTCTGGCTCTCGCCAATCCGCCGCCCTGGCACCTTTTCCGTCTCCCATCGTGCCCCCCCCTCCATTTCATCCGTGCCTCCTCTTTTCTTTTCCACTTGCTCCTCGCTTCCTAACTGCCCTGCTGCGCCTCGGAACGGCGGGTTCGCGTTATAGCCGCACGCGTGCGGGCGCGTGCGGGTGTTTGGCCTGCGCAGAGTGCACGTGCTCACGTGCCGTCTCCTTCACGTGCTCACGGTGACTGGTGGGACGTTACAGACTTTGTCTGGGCCTCCTTTACTGGGCATTCCTGGGCAATGTTCCACTTTCCTTCGGGGACACCCTGATTTCCAGCCGAGGCCCGCTCTTGAGAGTGGGCAGTAATAGACAGCCGAGGGCTGCAATCCAGCGCAGTGCAGTGCATGAGCCTTCGCGCGCATGGTGCAGGCGGGAAGAGGACGACGACGAGGAGGACGAGGCGGCGGAGGAGGACGAGCACATGCACAAGGAGGAGAAGGATGAGGTGGAGGAGGAGGAGGAGGAGGAGGAGACGCCACACGCCAGGGGTACTTGGGAGATCGTTCTTGCACGCGGAGGAGGCAGCGGGACTGGCAGCGAAGCGTGCAGAAGTGGCGAGCGGTCGGAGGGCCGGGGGGCGAGGTCGTATTGAAAGTGTGGACTCTTCTTCTTGCCCGCCAGTGAGACCCTATATTGGTCCCACTTGCTGCCATATCGCTGTCATGCCACCGGGGGTACAGGCCTCGGAACAAATCAGCGAACACTCATGCCACACTCATCTGTCAACGCCTCCCTCTCCCCCCCATGTTCAAAGTTGGCGGTGGGCCTGATGACGTGCAGGTCGACCGCAGCCTCCCCCACGCGTGCCAAGATTGAGTTTTGGGGGGGGGGGGGCGGGGAGTGACTCGTGCTCCTGAGAGCTCCTGAGAGCCGAGGAGCCCCTGCTGCGATGCCGCCGCCCCTTGGGAGGGCCCCCGTGTCCTGCATCGGGCGGCATCGGCCTGAGGAGGAGATGGAGGAGGAGGAGGAGGAGGAGGAGGAGGAGGAGGAGGAGGAGGAGGATCTTCTGCCCCGCTGCTCCTGAGAGCTACAGCAGGCCTCTCTGCACCGCCCGGCCTTCTTCGGGGGCCGCTCCTCCGGGAGCCGGCGCAGAGGGCCCTCTGCGCCTTCGACCGGCCCCCGCCGGCCGGCGCCGACCCGCCGAAGCACGTATGGCATCTCCGGGGGGCCTCGCCCGGCCCCCAGCTCGGTGTCCTGTCGCCTGCCCGGCGCGGGCTCGATGCGGACTCGACGCGGCCTTGGCGCGGAGTCGACGCGGACTCGACGCGGACTCGACGCGGATCGGGCATCAGCAGCGACGGGGCGTGCGCGGTCCCTCGAGGGTGCACCAGAGGGGAGACAGCACGCGAAGAGATGCGTATCAGCACGAATGCGGCATCACAGGGCTTGTGTCGGCCCTATCGACTGTCGATCCCATTCGATGTCCATTCCGGCCGGCTCGATCCGTGCCGATTCGACTCCCATGTCCTGGCCCGAGACGTGCGACGCCCTGATTTTTGTTCAGGACGGCGTCCCCAGAAGTCCCGACCTTTTCCCCAGGGTCGGCTTCTCGTCCCAAGTCGTTTTTTTCACTGCCCCGGAGCCCGGCGGGGGCTCCCTGATGCCGAAAGTAGCGAAAGAGCGCCCGCCCTGATTTTTTGTTTACGATGCGACCCTGTCTCGGGCGATCCGATGCGACCCGATGCTTGCGCAGCGCTGCTGCTGCACCAGCAGCCGAGCCGACTCGAGGTCGGCCCCGTGCCGGTGCGGTCGGAGAGTCGGTCCGAGGCTTCCCCCGCCGCGGTGTGCCGAGAGGCCCCGCGTCTGTCCCGCAGGGGCGCGCAGGTAGCACTCCGCTGCCGCGCCTCTCGCTGCGGGCAGCACGAGGCGCCAGACCTTGGTGGCCCGGGCGGAGGGAGGACGAGAGAGCAGAGAGCAGAGGGGGTTGCCAAAAGGGGAGGGAGCTCCCCCCGCCCCCCCCTCCCAGCACTGTCCCTCTCCCCTTCCCTCCCTCCCTCCCACCCACCCTGCCTTCTCCTCGTCCTCCTGGGGTGCTCACGCTCCTCCTTTTCCTCCTCCTTTTCCTCCTCCTCCTTCTCCTCCTCCTCCTCCTCCTTCTCCTCCTCCTCCTCCTCCTCTTCCTCCTCCTCCTGTTCCTCCTCCTGCTCCTCCTCCTCCTCCTCCTCCTCCTCCTCCTCCTGCCCCTGCTCCTCCTCCTCCTCCTCCTCCTCCTCCTCCTCCTCCTCCTCCTCCTCCTCCCTACTCTCCTGCATCGGGGAAGCGAGAGGGGAAGGGGCGGAGGAGGAACGCGCAGTAAACCTGGGGACCTGGAGGCTCCGACGAGGAGGAGTGCGCGGGGGAAGGCTGCCACCAGGGAAGGGGAGCCTGGAGGGAGCGGGCCGCGGGGACCCGGGCTCCAGGGATCTCTCCATTGACCGGCTTGTCGCTCATTGCTGCCTGATCATCCGATCGGGACGATCGAAATGGGTACGGAAATGCTGGGCACCAAGGTGATCGTGTTCTTACTCATTGTTTTGCCGATCGGCGCGGGCCCTCGCACCCCACCCCCCATCACCCCCCTCGGATTGGATCTTGGCTGTTTTGGGCGCCTGCTTCGAGCAGGCAGAGTCCCTCCCCCATAGGACGCGCTATTGCAAACAGTCGCGCCAAGCAGAGGTCCAGAGCCAGACCTCCCCCTCCCCCCCTTTTCGCTCAATGTCGAAACGCCGAATACGAAGACGCTCTCAAGACCGACACCAGTTCCAGATCATTTTGAGCGGGTCTCGCTGTCGGTGTCCTGGTGGGTATTGCGAGTTTTCGACAGAAGGCCGCCTGCCCAACAGCAGCCGCTGTCGGTTTTGGACAGTTTGTTGCTGGGCATATCTCAGGCGTCCAAATCCGAAGGCCTGCGAAGGGCATCGTGAGGCCGACAGTTTTCGTCCTGGGCCACTGTTTGATGGCCGCGGGGCCCGAAAATGATTGCCCGACCTTGGCATCGATGAAAACAAATCCAGGATGGAACAAAAACGTTCTGCCGGAGGTGCAGTGGAAGTCCATGCCAGGAAACACCCTGCTTTGCCCCCCAGGGCGTCCTGGGCCTCTTGGGCCCCGACGGTTGTGCTATGGAAAGAGTGACGCTCCCGCACCAAAAATCAACGGACGTCCTGGGGTCTCAGGGTTGGGTTTCTTGTCGAAGGTTTCTTGTGGTCGAGCTTCTACTGTCGGGGGAGCGTAAGACCCGGGTTTGCCGGGACTCGGGTTCGCCATCGTTTTTTGACGACCGCGACTCGGATTTTGACGAGGAGGAGTTTCGTGGGATGTCTGCAGCGGGAGGCCTCGTCAAAATGCAGGCTCGGCCTCGTCATTTTTTTGACGATCTCGTCGGGAATTTCCGAGTCCCCCGTACCCGGGTCTTACGTCTCCCCGATACTGTAATGTGAGAAGGAAGGATGCGGCCGGCGTGCATTGGGGCCACGTGGCGATCGCGGGGCGGGCCCACCCCTGCAGGTGGACGCCGTCCCCCTCGACGGCGCGGCCCGTATCTACCCGACGGCGCAGGGCCCAGAGACGCGGGCGGGGACGAGGGGAGACTCAGAGGACACCTCTGTCCGGGAGTGTACATCAAGCCCCCGTGTGCCAACACGAATAGGAGGAGGAGGAGGAGAAGGAGGAGGAGGAGGAGGAGGAGGAGGAGGAGGAGGAGGAGGGGGAGGAGGAGGAAAAAGAGGAAATGTGTATCCTCTTCATTTGCCCCACTTCTGTTGCCATTTGGGCTCGTGCGCTCGGCCGATGTGAACCAATCTCGGGTGCTGAGGTGGGCCATCTTGGGCCTGCGCCCTCGACGCCGCGCTGCGGCGGATCCGAGGAGAGGTGTCTCCCTGGCGCCGGCGAGGCCGGGCCCCACCTCGCCCCCCGCGCTCGCGCAGGAAGACGGCGGCCGGGGAGGGGGGCCCGGGGCGGGAGAGGGGCCCCCCGATCACGGTGGCCCCCACTGCAGACCCCCTCGCGTTGTGACGAAAAACGCGACGGGAGGTTTTTTGTTATTTTCGGCCTCCGGGTGCCCTTCCCCGGTCTTGGACCGTCACAAGACGATGCAGGATGAAAAACCGGTCCCGGGGAAGGGGTCCAGACCTCTGGGGGTCGACGTTGTTCAAAATCACGACGTCGGGGGTCTGGGTATGGAGGATGGGTCGGGCTTCGAGACCGCGCCCGCGCTACTTTCTCGTACGTGCGCGGTGCGGCACGAGCGAAGGGGTCTGGACCTCCGTAGCTCGCAGCGTCGAGTGGGGGCCCCCTTGCTGTTCGGAGAGCCGCCGCGAGAGGGTGCGGGAAGCCGGCATCATCGGCCACGACGCTTGGGCCATCGCCTGCGCCACGTGGAGGGCGTGCCGCAGCAGCGGACCCTGGCGCTGCTCAGCGAGCCATGGCGAGAGGAAGCGGGAAATCAGTTTCAACAACTACAATGCCGGGGCCAGCGCCCGCGGTGCAGTCAGCCGTCGCAGCAGCAGGCTCAAGCACCGCCCGGCGAGCTGCGTCAAAAAGGACCTTGAAGCCAGCGTTATCGGCTGCAACGCTGGGATCAGCCCCTGCACCGCGAGACGGCCGACACGCGGCGGCAGGCTCTCGCGTTGCTCAGCAATCGATGGTGAGAAGAAGCTGGAAGCCAGCATCAGCAGCTACAACGCCAGGATCAGCGCTTGCGGTACGAGAAGGATGCGCCGCCGCAGCAGACCTCGGCACTGCCCAGCGAGCGGCGGCAAGAGGGGGCTGGAAACCAACGCAATCGGCTACAACGCTGGGGCCAGCGCCTGCGCCGCGAGGCGGGCGTGCCGCAGCAGCAGGGGTTGGCGCTGTTCAGCGAACCGCGGCGAGAAGAAGCTGGAGACCAGCCTCAGGTACAACGCCAGGATCAGAGCCCGCGGCGCAGGCTCCAGCGCTGCCCAGCGAGCTGCGGCAAGAGGAAGCTAGAGACCAAATCGGCTACAACGCTGGGGCCAGCACGTGCGCCGCGGGGCGGTGGAGCCGCGGCGGCGGACTCTGACGCTGCTCAGCGAGCTCTAGCGAGGGCAAGCTGGAGGCCGGCCTCAACAGCCAGGACGGGCACTACACTAGCACCTCGACGTTGGGCAGCACGTGGGAAAATAGCAGCCCGGCCGTGGCGCTCACGAGTGGGGTAAGCATTTGCTAGATTACCGCGTCGCTGAACAGCACATCAAGCAGTTGCATCTCCGGGCTGAGCAGCAATTCGGAGTGCGCAGCCCGTCGCGGAGCACCGCGACCAGCACCTGTCGTTGGCGGGCATGCTGGAGAGTAGCAGCCCGACGCGGACGTTCACGAGCGGGACGAGTTCAGCCCCGGGCACCATGTCGCTGAGCAGCACGACGGGTGCTAACTTCTCGACGTGCAGCCGCACGTCGGAGAGCAGCAGTTTGACCCTGGCGCTCACGAGAGAGATGAGCAGCAGGGCAGCGCCAGTTCGCGCGGCCGCGACTCCACGCTCACCCCGTGCACGGCGTGAGAGCCCTGCTTGGTGGCCCGCGGCGGCGGCGCCCAGGTGCGCGCGCGGAAGGTGTCCGCCCCCTTCCGCGCGAACGGCAAGTGCCCGGGTTGAGCGGCACCCCGCCCGTTGCCAGGTGCAGGAGTGCAACGCCCAGGATGGCGTCGGCGACGAGATCGGCATCGAAGGGCGGGATCTAATCATTGCATTCGACGGCTGCGGCCCCCCGACGCCGGAGGGTTTCGACGTCGCCCAGAAGAAGTTCGCCCCGAACCTTGCCAGCGAGTACTTGTACCAGGGCACGCACTGCGGCGTGGAGGACTTGCGCATCGGGCTGTAACGGCGAGTACCTCGACGACGGCACCGTCGCGGTGGCGCTGGAGGTGGCCCTGGTCGCGAGCCACGTGGGCTCCTCTTGTTCGGCGATCGCCAGATCAATGCGCTGACCAGCGCCTGCGATGCGAGGCGGGCGAGCAGTGGCAGCATGCCCCACCGCTGCCCAGCAAGCCGCTGCAACGACGGGATCAGCGCCTGCGAGGCAAGACGGGCGAGCCGCGGCCGCGGGCCCGGGCGTTGCGCGGCGAACTGCGACGAGAAGAAGCTGAAGGCCAGCGCCATCAGCTACGACGCTGGGATCAGCGCCCGCGATGCGAGACGGGCGAGCCAGGGCCCCGGGCCCCGGTGCCGCTTGGCGACCTGCTACGAGAGGAGCAGGAGGCCATCGCCATCAGCTGCATCGCTGGGCTCAGCGCGCGCGACGCGAGACGGGCGAACGCGACGGCGCCCCGCGGCGCGGCGCAGCGACGGCTGCGAGAGATACCAGAGGCCAGCGTCGGCGGTTGCGACGCTGGGATCAGCGCGCGCGGTGCGAGACGCGCGCGCAGGGGCCGCCAGCTCCGGCGCCGCCCAGCGAGCTGCTGCGAGTGGACGCTGAAGACCAGTCGCCAGGAACGGCGCCTGCGAGGCGAGAGCCGTGGCGGCAGGCCCCGGCGCTGCTCTGGAGCTGCCGCGACAGGAGGTGGAGGGCCAGCGTCGTCAACTACGCGCGGCGGTCAGCTCGCGAGCGAGCCGAAGCTGGAGTCCGTCGTCATCGGCGGCCCAGCCGGGAGCATCGCCCGCGGCCGCGCTCGGGCGCGACGGGCGGCTTGCGCTGGCGGCGGCTCCGCCCGTGGTGACGGGCGGCTCGCGGCGGCGGCGGCCCTGCCCAGGCGCGACTAGCGGCTCGCGGCGGCGGCGGCCCCGCCAGGGGCGACAGGCCGCCTGCGCCAGGGGCGGGCCAGCCTGCCACGGCGCGACGAGCGGCTCGCGCCAGGGGCAGCCCCGCCTAGGCGCGCCGGGCGGCCTGGTCCGGCGGCGGCCCCGCTCGGGCCGGAGGCGGCCTCGCCCCAGTGCGACGGGCGGTTCGCCCCATGGGCGAGACGAACGCGCCGCGGCAGCAGGCCCCGACGCAGCTCAGCAACGCCCGCGCGCCCATGCCGCGGACTGCGCGGGTGGATCGCTCGATGGCCCGCGCCGGCGGCGCCTGGGAACGCGCGCGCGGGGGGTCGGCGCCGCTGCCCACGCAAATGGCAAGCACCCCAGGCTGAGACGCTCCGGCCGCGCCAAGACGCACCCGGGCGGCACCCGGGATTGCGTCGACGACCAGGCCTGCGTCGCCGGCGCTCGACGGCAGCAGCCCCCTGAAGCAGGGGCCTCGGTGGCATGTGCCAGCGCGCGTGCCGCGGCGCGGGGGGCGCGCGCCCCGGGCCGGAGCGGCTCGAGGGCGACGCGCGGTGCTCCGACAACGGCGCCGTCGGGGCGGCGCGGGAGGCGGCCCAGATCGCGTGCGACCAGGAGTCCGTCGGCACGGCGATCGCAGAACCAGTGGGGCAGCGCGGCGGCTCCAACGCGGCGCAGGCCCTCCAGGCGGCAGAGAACGCGTCCGCAGACGATATGAGGGCGCGCAGCGCCCGTGGGTCGACGCAGCGAACCAGGGATGACTGATCAGGGACCCGTCGGCGACGAGATCGGCATCGTTAGTGTGCTCGACGGCCACGACTCCTGGAAACAGAGAAGCTTCGACATTGCCAGCAGTTCGCCGCGGACCCCGCCGCCGACAACTGGGCCGATTTCAGCGCCGACAGCTGCGCGAACAGCGGGGCCGACGGCGGCGCCGACGGAGCCGCGGGGCCAGAGCCGCCAGCAGGCGGGCGCGAGCTTGGCGAATGGGCGGGCCCGCTTGTCGCACGACCTCGCGCGCGGTGTTTTGCCGGTGTGCGCGATGCCGAGTATGGTCGCTCGTGCTCGACAGATGCGGGACAGGCGAGCTGTGGAAGGAGGCCCTGGCGATGCTCAGAGAGCCGCTGCAAGAGAGGTTAGAGCTAGCGCCGTAAGCTACAGCGCTAGGGCCGTTGCCTGCAATAATGCAAGAGTGGCGAGCAGCCGCAGCAGGCTCCGACGCCGCTCAGCGGGCCACTGCTGCAATGGATCCTGGGGGCTAGCGCCGGCAGCTACGACGCTGGGGTCGCGGGCCCGGACAGCGCGCAATGCGCCGCCCACGGCCGTGGGGGCCGCGCGCCCCGCTGCCGCCTCGCGCAGACCCGGGCGCGCGGGCCCGGCGACCCTTCGGGGCAGGGGCCGCGCAGCCGCGGGCTGTCGCCAGGGCTCCGCCTCCAGGCGGCCCTCGTTGGATGGGGCAGGACGGAGCCATGCCTTGGCCAGCGGCGGCGGCAGCCAGCTAGGTGCGCGCGCGGAAGGTCGCATCCTCGGCCGCGCGGACGGCAAGCATCCCCCGCCACGGCACCGCGCCCGCCGTCAGCCGCCGGAGTGCAACGCGCACGATTGCGGGATCTGCACCGCCAGGCAGGACCTCATCGTGGCACGCGCAGCCGCGGCCTCCCCTGAAGCGCTTCGATATCGCAGGCGGGTCGGCACCGCGCCTCACCAGCGGGCGCCGGCGCGCGCGTCGGGCGGGCACAGTTCGGGAGCGGCGGGTGTTTCGACGACGGCGCCGACGGGAACGACGGGTTGTGGAGCTTCGGCGTCGCCGACGTCTGCTCGCGCGGCCCGGGGCGTTCGTTCCCCAAGAGCGAGCGGGGCCGCTGCGGGCGGCGAGGCAGCAGTAGGCGACGATGGATAGTCTGCGCCATGGTATCGGCGCAGAGGCGCTCCTGGAGTGCGAGCAGGTCGATTTCCTGCAGTGTGCGGAGCGACTTGGGGTGCCCAGTGCTGCTGCTGAGACGGGCGCGCAACTGCGCGTGCAGAGCGGAGGCGGGTCCGACGCATCCTGGAGCAGTTTCTGCTTGACTTCGTTCCCGTGGCGAGTACATCGGCGACAGCTCGCGTGGCCCGTGGCCCTGGATGCGTTCCCCAGGAGCGATCGGAGCTGCTTCGGCGACGTGGAACAGCATCGGGAACGCCATCGCCAGCTTGCGCGGCCCAGGGCGCGCGTTCCCCCGGGGCGCGCGGAGCTGCTTCGAGCTGCATGGCAGATCGGGCGCATCATCGCCAGCTCGCGCGGCTTGGGGCGCGCGTTCCCCTGGGGCGGGCGGAGCGAACCGCCTGCGCTGGGCGCCACTTAGCGCGGGGGATGCGGGGCGGGCGAGCCGCGGCATCAGTCTCCTGCGCGGCGCAGCGGGCTGCTGCGAGGGAAGCTGGAGGACGGCGTCATCGCCTACGACGCGGGGATCAACGCGCGCAGTGCGAAATGGGCGCGCCGTGGCAGCAGGCTCCAGCGCGGCCCAGCGAGCGTCGGCGAGAGGAAGCCCGACGCCAGCGCCATCTGTCACGACGCCGAGACCAGCGCCTGCAAGGCGAGACGAACGAGCCGCGGCAGCAGGGTCCAGCGCAGCTCAGCGATCAGCTGCAAAAGAAATTGGGGGCCAGCGTCATTCTGAGCCCATGGCAGAGCGAGGCGACGCGCGCCGCTGGGGCGGCCGGGGAAGCCGCCGGGGCCGCCGGCAGCGAGGCCGGGACCACCGCGGGCGCAGGCACCGGCCGCGTAGCGATGCTAGACCCGCGGCGCGGCGACGCACCAAAAATCGCCGTGGCGCGGGGAAGCCGCTGGGGACGCCGAGTGATTAGGCGGCCAGGGCCGCCGTGGGCGCCGGGGCCATCCGCGGCGGGATTCCAGGCCAACGGCGTGGCGGTCCGGAATCGCCGTCCCCGCGCTGCTCGGGATTTGAACTGCGCGCAGGGCGCACAGGGCACCGGGTTCCGCCACGCGTAAAAGAGGCGTCGACGTCATCCCCTGCCCCTCTGTCGCCGCCAGCAACCGCGCCGGGGCGGCCGCCCGCTGTCAGACCACGCCAGAGACGTGGAGGGTTCCGAGACAGTGCTCGCCGACTCGCCGATCGATTCGCCGACGGCTGGCGGCCCTCAGGCCACGAGGGAGCCAGAGAAGGGAACGCTCTCGCAGAGATCATTGCCGGGGCCTTGCGGTGCTGGGACCCAGCAAACGCCGCGTTCTCACCTGCGTGGCTCCTCGGGCCGCCGCAGGCGCCGGCGCTGGCGACCGACTGGAATTCCAGTCGGTCGCCAGCGCCGGCGGCGGCGGGGTCGCACCCTCGCGGCTCCGCGAGCCGCGGCACCAATGGCGCTCAGCGCGGCGCGGTCCGGCGCGACTGGGACCTTGGCAGGGGCCCCCGCCGAAGGGCGGGTGGCCATCGCCGGCCGCCGCCACGCAGTCGGCCGTGGGCTTGGGCGGCTCAGCCCTCCCCGCGCTTGGGGGGGCCTCTTTACCGATCCTGCATCCCCTCCCTGGGGGCCCTGCGGCCGCCGCGGTGGGCGAAGGCCCCGTTGGTGGGAGCGGGGGTCGGGTCTGCCACGCAGTTGGCCCTGGGCTTGGGTGGCTCAGACTTCGCCGCGCCTGGGGGGAGTGGGGGGGGCCTTTCCCGATCCCGCTTTCCGTCCCTGGCAACCCTGCGGCCACGGAGTGGGGGTTTGGCGTGTCGGGGCGCCCTTGCGCCACCTTCCTTTTCTTTGCCTTGGCCACGCTTTCGGCCCCGAGTGGCTCAAACATTTCGTGCGCCTTGGGGGGGGGGGGCCTTTCCCGATCCAGCATTCCCTCCCTGGGGGCCCTGCGGCCACCGCGAGGGGCGAGCGGTCTGGCCTGTGGGGGCTCCATAGAGGGCCAGGGAGAGGCACTTGAGCCACCCTCCCCTCTTTGCCTTGGCTACGCTGTCGGCCCTGAGCTTGGGCGGCTCAAACCTCCCCGCGCCTGGGGCCCCTCCCTCCCAATCCCGCATCCCCTCCCTGGTGACCCTGCGGCCACGGCGGTGGGCGAGGGCCCCCTTGGTGGGAGTGGGTCTCGGGCTTGTGGGGGGCCCCAATTGTTGACGAGAGGCCCGCTTGAGCCACCCTCTCCTTGTGTCTACCCGTGCATACGCGTGCGGCGCGGTCGCGGGCGGAGGCGTCGGCGCAGAGCGAGCACTGGGGCGCCACGTCCCCGGGAGCGAGCGCAGCCCGTATCGGGTTGGGCTCGGCGGTGCCGAGGTGAGGCCAAGCGGGCCCCGACGCTCGCAGCATCCGTGTGTGGGGGGTGCGGGGGGGGGGGGGCTCGTATCTCGCCGCAGTGGAGTCTGGTGAGATCGAATGGGCCGACGCTCGCAGCGTCCGGGGGGGCCGGCTTCCGCCTCCTCACCTGCGGTGCTGGCGACCCACTCCCATCGCAGAGGAGGGGCATCCATTTCCTGGGAGTGGCAACAGGCACGAGCCCTGTGCACAGGGCCCCGCGGTACGGCCGCCCGTAAAAAAGAGGCATCGCCGCCATCTCTTGCCCCTCTTTTGCCGCCATCGCACTGCCATTTGGGCTCATCGAGGATTTGCCCCCGTGTGCCAACACGAACGGGTATCTTGTGACGTTGCCCGACGCCTGTTGCCATTTGGGTTCAGGCGCTCGGCCGATTTGAGTTACCCACCCACCACTGTGGGGCATCAAGTTTCGGGGAGTGGCGCGAGCTTCAGGAGGGAAAAACACACAGACACAATTAATCGTCGATTCCCCGGAAAATATAGGAAAATATGGGAATTGGGGGGTAAGACGATATGACAAAATATTGGGAATATGTTTATTTGTGTGTATTTATTTGTGTGTCCCAGGGCCCCTTCAGAGCTCTGCGCACAGGGCCCTGCGGCACGGCCACCCGTAAATGAGGCACCACCGCCAGCTCGTGCCCCCCTTTTGCTGCCATCGCGCCGCAAGTAGGGCTCATCGAGGAGACCTGGAACTGCCACGGCTGGCTGTTCATACGCCGTCGGCCTCCAGAAACCGCACTATGGCCCCGGGACCGTTCAAACACGAATTAAATCATTTGCCCTGGGGAACTGGGGAAGGGACCAATGCGACGTCGGAGGAAACGGTTGAGAAGGAGTCTCAGCAGAAAGACAGTGACACGCGGCCCACTTCGCCGCTGTGCCTGGGTTGTGGGCCAGGGAGGCCTCTTGGATGCCAACTGGTATCTCTTAGGATGCTTCATGGTGCTTTCTCGAAGGCATCTTGAGGGGCGTCTCGGGGGCCTTGTAGTCTCATGGGCGCT